TATTTTATGTTTTTTGAAATCATATTTCCTGAAGAAAAATACTAAATGAAATAAAAATTTATAATTTATATTTTGTACGGATTTTAGTTCTTTATTTGGTTTTGTATGGAGTATATTTTATTTCGTTATATTTTTGTAGTTCCATAAATATTAACTAAACTAAATTTTTTTTAAAATAAGTATAAATATTTTTTACTGTTTTAATTATATTTTGGAATTTTTTGTAAAAATTCGAAAACTGTTTTTTTGGAAATACTGGGATTCGAAAACTGTTTTTTTTCAAAAGTCGGTTTTTGTGTAAACCCTACTCCGGACCTTCAAATAAGTCATGACCGCCTCCTTACAAATCCTTGTGTGTAGTTGATGATGTGTCTATAACGTCTTCAGCTGAGACAGTGTCGAGGAAGGAATCTGATATACAAACTTGGGTAGCTGCTAAATTGACTGTAGCTTTGAGTGAACTCGAATAAAATCAAAAGTTACACAAGAATGGTTCCAAAAGAAACAGACATCGGCTCTATATTAACACGAATTTCGTTAAACTATACGAACATTGTTTGGGAAGACGTCAGATGGGGTCACAGTGAAACAAATGTGTCAGTTACAGCCGACTAGACAAATTGCCATTCAAGTCGATCTACATTTCATAGGTCAAAGAATTGATAGACATTTCAGAGGTGCATACTGCCTCCGTCATCGCCCTAATTATGGAGACTGCAAGCACCTTGAAACGTCGATAACATTCTACGGGACAACACAAACGCCACGACTGCAACAAACCACGTGTTGTTACGTCATACGGGTGAGGGGGTGGGGTGCAGTTGTGACGCGCCCAGACTGTACTCCACTGGGCCACACAAAAGGCTCAGCGGACTGGATAATTAGGCAACTCGCTGGGGTTTTCATTTACTCAGCATTACCAAACAATGACAAGTGGCTGCAGTATTGTGGATACATCTCCCTGTGGCCAGGATCTTCCATTTCATGTGAACGATTCAATTAGAATCGAGTTAAAGCAACTCTCAAAACATGGAGCACTTTGACTTTCAAAACTCTCAACTTACTTCCTGCAGGATGTTATTTAAACTGCAGGGCGTCATGCACGAGACACAGACGGCCCGAGACGCATGAATGACACTAGTAACGTGTCAGACTTTAATTCGGAAGGTAACTTGTTCGAGTCTGGGCCACTTTACCTGCTACCTTGAGATTTTTAGTGAGTTTACTAAGATTCTCCGGACTAGGGTTTGTCGGTTTTTAAAAACCGGGCTTAAAAATAGGGTTTTTTTTGGATAAATTTGTAAAATTCGAAAACCGGTTTTTAGAATTTAAAAGACCGGTTTTAGATACTAGAATTAATATGTAAAAAATTAATTAATTAATTAAAAACGTTAACATTTTGACTTGAAATCGCCTCGGGCACAAGCATATTGTAGTAAGACTACAAAGAACAAAGAATTTGAATTTATTATTTGAAGCCCTAAAAACGATAAAACCAAGTTCAGTAGCCAGTGAGAGAGTATTTTCTATTTCAAGCAATTTTGTATTTAGAATAAGAACAAAATTAGGTAATCGTTCAGTGGATATTTTATGTTTTTTGAAATCATATTTACTGAAGAAAAATACTAAATGAAATAAAAATTTATAATTTATATCTTGTACGGATTTTAGTTCTTTATTTGGTTTTGTATGGAGTATATTTTATTTCGTTATATTTTTGTAGTTCCATAAATATTAACTAAACTAAATTTTTTTAAAATAAGTATAAATATTTTTTACTGTTTTAATTATATTTTGGAATTTTTTGTAAAAATTCGAAAACTGTTTTTTTGGAAATACTGGGATTCGAAAACTGTTTTTTTTCAAAAGTCGGTTTTTGTGTAAACCCTACTCCGGACCTTCAAATAAGTCATGACCGCCTCCTTACAAATCCTTGTGTGTAGTTGATGATGTGTCTATAACGTCTTCAGCTGAGACAGTGTCGAGGAAGGAATCTGATATACAAACTTGGGTAGCTGCTAAATTGACTGTAGCTTTGAGTGAACTCGAATAAAATCAAAAGTTACACAAGAATGGTTCCAAAAGAAACAGACATCGGCTCTATATTAACACGAATTTCGTTAAACTATACGAACATTGTTTGGGAAGACGTCAGATGGGGTCACAGTGAAACAAATGTGTCAGTTACAGCCGACTAGACAAATTGCCATTCAAGTCGATCTACATTTCATAGGTCCTTCATAACATAAGCCAAGGATGTGGAACTTGGCACTCAGTACAATAAAAGAGACGCATGTAAAGAAATACAAACATGACAGCCGTAAGCTCGTTCTAACAGACAGCATGCAAATGTTTACAAGGAACAGTTGAATGCACAGATAAGCTTCACCATCGTAATCTACCACAACAAATTAGTATTTCGCTAAAATCTAAAATTAAAAACACACAATTTAACATTATAAACAAATATTCTGTATCAGACGACAAACCAGCTCCTAAAATAAACACAACTGGTTTTAATATAATATTGCCATATAGATAAATGTTACTCACCATTCCTTGATGATGGTTTCCTTCCTTCGTCTTCGTCCGTTTCACCAACACCACACAAATCACCACCACACCATAAACAAGCCCTAGCACGGCTCTTAGTTAACGAGAAGTCGAATTGCGCAGTGAGTTACAAAGAGTTATTTATGAATTAGCAATGTCTTGTCAACTGAAATTAAGGTTGAATATAAAACACAGCCCACTGTAAATAAAAGGAGTACTAGCCACAGGCAGAAGCGAAATTTTTTTTAACCCTTATCAAAATAATTAAATTGTAGATCTATTCATATTTGCAACGACAGTCTCTTAATTATTAGATTTTTCTTCTTTATCAGCACTTGAATCTTAGCTTTCCATATTGACATTTTTAAAGTCTGTTCGTTACAGTTTACAATGTTGGACAACTTAAGATTTTTAATAAATTAAGTTCCAGAATGTAAAAAGTGGCATGTCAGTTCATTGTGGTTCACATGATAATGAAAGAAACTTGCTTTAATAAAATAAGGCTAGTAGTAACCTAACATCGCTGTTTGTCCACCATAACAATAAAACGGACGCATCATTACTTTTAACCCCATCTTGCGATCAACTATTTCTTTCGCGGGTTGACACAACTGTAAGACGTTTCAATTGAATCTCGGACATACGAGATTCGAACTTCGACCGAGGACTGGTAGTCATCACAAAGCCCTCGTTCTCTCAAACCAGTACTTACTAGAGCAGTCTTTCTTGAGAGTTTACTAGAACGCTCAGCTAGTCAAATTCCCCGCGTTTCATCGAACCAAAAGGTTCATTAGAGTTCAAATATACTACTATATACTTCACGATCATCAATTCATAACGATCCGACCACAATGTAATGTTCCACTTGTAAAATGCATATACACACACTTACTTCCGATTAAAAACCACATTAACATAAACAACCACTGTGATGTACACCTCGAATGCTGCTTACAGTCAGTCGCACCAACGGAGCTCAGAATTGCTTTCGCTTTCATAGGTAAATTTCGTTCCAGTCCTGGAAACTGATACTAGGCTTATGCTTTTGTTTTAACAATCAACGATTGTCAAGGAAGGCATACAGATAAACAGTAAATATAAGAAAGACAATGTTACGATTTGTCCCAATCTCGAGATTTACTTCTTTTCATGTTCGTAATAAATTAATAAAAGTTCTTACAGCCTGTTTTTAAACATACATTATCAACACTTTTAATTCTTTAAAGCAGTATTTAGACTACCATATCTACTACCTGCTCAAACATTCAGTAACTTTGCATTCTCACTAAAGCATTTAAGGGTTTCACTAATTGATCTTTTAGCAGTCCCCCACAATTCTTTCATAACAAGAGAATTGTAATTTAGTTCCTTTGAAGGAAAGATTTTTTAAAATTCCGTATCTGTGAAGTCTAAATAAATAGCAGTGTACTGTCTCAGCCCGTTCTAGGAACGTTAAATGCTGGTACCCATAAAACTGAAAACTATAACCAGTCGCGTTTCATTCTTGCAGCTGAATGGTGTTCTCAACCGTTGAGCTTTCTTGTTCAAGCACATCAGCAAATGGGGGTCATTCGGGGAAAACGCAGAAGAAATTTCAGAACATGTGCTAGGGTAGATAAAAATGCTGTATTCAGAAACTGATGGCAAAATTACAGGCCACGGGAGTTCCGGATGTGCAAGGTGCCAGAAGCTGTCTCATCAGACAGTAAACAATGTAAAGGAATGGCTGTTGGTGCCACCTCCACAATCATTGCTTTCTGAAGACATGGCCACAACCACCTTGCTGCCCAGTAAGGAAAAATACATCCTTAACATGCATCAGCAGTTCAGAAGTTGCTTCTGTTACACAAGAAAAGGCATAGGCACTTTTTTGCAAGGCTTCACACTTCATCAACATCAAACTGGACATATATCAGCATAACGCCACACAGCAGCAGTCTTTATAAGCTAATAGTTACTCACCTAGTTAATAAATTCCCTCTATTTTATGGAATCATAATATGATATGTTACTGTGTTCACAAGATACTACCAGTGGATCCTATTCCAAGGCAGATGAAGCCAGTCCACCTCACACCCCATTTCCCTAAGATTCACTTGTTATCCTCCCATCTACAGCTAGGTTTCAAAACTGGTCTCATTTCAGATTTTGTACAAATTTTATCATCCCCGTTTATGCAACATGCCCTGCTCGTCTCATACAGATTTGATAAACCGAACATTTTAGTTGAAGAGGACAATTTTATCCATCCTCCTGCTACTTCCTCACTTCAGTCTATTTTGTTCTCCTCAGCTCCCTCAATTTATGTCCTTGCTCAAGGGTAAGACCAAATTTCATAACCATATAAAACAACAGGCAAAATTATGTGCAAATCAAAACGTAATGACCCACAATTTTTTACAGGTCAATATTTATTCCGCAGCACTCTTACCTTCACTTGTACAGACGTTACATGAGTTTCCACTGCCAATTCATTGGGCAAACCATAAAGAACACGCAACGAACTTCAAGTCAGTAGAGACACCTGGAAGTAAGTTTGATAAAACAGACAATAATGCATGAGGTTTGAGGTTCTCGAGGCATTGAATATGTCAAATGTCATCTTCCGGCTTGTGACCATGAGCTGTCGTTGCCCATAGGGAATGTCCGCTATCACAACCTTTAGAGTAACAAATTAATGAAGTGTGTTGGACTAACTACTATAAAACCCGTTCGATTCCTCCCCATAACTTGGGCATTTCTGATATATCACTGACTGTCTCCTTATGTGAGGTTTCAGAACCATTTTCTCGTCAGTAAGACTCCCCGGACAACGGGTCAGCCTGCACAGGTCAGCACAATATAGAAAGTCAAGGACAAACACCCATGCCTAAAATGGGATTTAAACCCTCAAACCCAGCATCCCCACACCTTAGACCGTGCAACCACTGAGATCAGCAAAGTCTACTGGATCACTGTACTAAAGCTTCATTAGTGATGACACAAATAACAATCATCAGAATAAGAATCAGCATAATAATCCAGTTTCACAAAACCGAAGCCAGTAACGACTTAACTCTGTTCGCTTGTGAAGATATTCCCACATTCTCAAAAAAAATTCTGAGCTCTGCAAACTTTATGAGCAACCTCAGTGACCCACACATTCTTAACCTTCGCACAGATAAGGCTTGAGGGAACTAGACCCTGGCATCTGCAGGACGGGAAGTTATTGCAGTCAGCCAGTATGTAGTCTAACACAGCTCATGATTACCTACACAAGACCAAAGTTTTCCTGATGTTTACACAGCTGTGGAAATTGATCTCTTACCCTGAAGCAAGAACGGAAGTTGAGAGCATCTGAAAAAAAGGTGCTACACAGAATACTGGACCACAGGAAGTAACCAGGAAGCATTCCAGAATGACAAGTTGACAATTTCATACTCTTAAACAATGCCTGTGACCTGGAGGGTAGCAAATGCAAGTAGGATGTTTGTAAGTAAATGCAAGTCTGAGGAATAACATGGCACATAGAGAACAGAATGCCTCCTGTTTTGCAGTTCCATTCTACAAGATCTTCCCAGGGCAGATTATAATCAGATGGTCAAGAAATTCTGTGGTGTTACTCAACCCACAAGTTCGATACAGTTGCCACAAAAGCCTTCACCAGGACCTGTCCTGAATTGTTCAAAACAGATCACATCTTGTATTCCATAAGTCAATCACCATCATCACAAGAGCCTGCCATATGACCTACGCTGATCCAGTACACGTCCGACAATTTCGGCAGGACAAGCCTCCAGTTTCCAGATTAACATGAGCTACTGCTTCAGAACACAGTCAGCTTCTTGCAGTCCTTCCTTTGGTTTCGCTCTAGATCAACACTGCGTTCCGAGGCCCGTAGTTTGTCTAGCTCTTCCTGTTTCTCCTCTATCTTGCTAAAAATTATGGTATATGTGGGAGACCCCCGTACATGACGAGACAGGGATTCTCGCAGGCGCGTCAAGTCTCTCTCAGCCCTGCGGATCCCCTCCCCCACGCGCAATCCGACAACATTCAGCCCACGGCACGACTCTGACTTCAATCCTTTGTCTTTGCTGGATGGTTTAGACGTCGAAGAAGCTTTTGATACCAGATCACAGACATCACCTGTAATGTAAAGTACATACTTCAATCCTGAGGAAATTCTGGACCAGTGCAGACTGTAGCACAATACACTTAACCAGAATGTTCTGGTCATACTCTTTTTAATGCTTCCTACCATATGTATTTGGCCAGAGATAATGGGTACCTATTTCACCATCTTGTGACAAATATAGAGAATTATAAAAACTAATATTAAAATATGATGCAAGGTACTAATCTTTCTTTTTTAAATAAAGTAACTTCCTGCAATGTCCTCAGGCTACAGGGATAAGCATGATGCAAACCTCTCTTGCCGCCAAGTTTGCTGTTTATAAAGTCAAACACATTAGTCTGCTGCTTCTCCCGCACGTACTGCTGTTCACTCTGTTGTTGATGCTTCTGCTGTAGCCTCTTCAGTCTCCTCTCCACTTTGAACAAGTTTGTATCCCCACCCGCTTTTTCCTTCAGTGCCATGCAGTGATCTATAACACACAGCCAAAACCTTAACAAATTCACCAGAATGACCCTCAAGCCCTGCCACCTTACATTTAAAACAGTACGAGTTAACTACTGCTCGGACCAAAGCTGTAAGCTCCCAATTAATTCAAAATCACACTACAATACTTCACTCTCTTCTTTTTTTTCTCTCTCTCCAAATTTTCCAAGGATAAGGGCACTTGGGTTTGTTCTCAGATGTAGACTGGCTGGACCATCTTTTCTCTGATCTTCAACTTTCCCTTCTACTCAGTATTCCATTCATCACTATAACCTCAGGTGTCAATACAGCACAAAAGTTGCGAGTCATACATACCCAATGACTTGCCAGCAGGGAACACAACCGCTTCAACGGGTTCCAGGCGACCCTCTCCATTTTTCCCTAGCCCAGTGCCCATCACATAGCCCATCTGGACCATCAGGCGAGAGCCAACACCCTAAAGAAATACAATATAACTGTGGTACAAGACAACAGAATCATACAAACTACAAATGAATTACTTGTCCTTGCCCTAAATCCAGTAAAGTGCTCGTCAAAAGTGACACTCAACCAAGGTCTGTCAAGCCTGCCACATACTTCACAGCTGTGATGGACGAGTATGAAGCATTGGTTGAAAGATGTGACAACTGACCCTCGTGTGCTTCTCCCAGTCCCCGTAGGCTGATGAGGCGGGCGTGGTGAGCAGCGATTGCTGAACCAGTGAAGGGTCTGCCTCCAGTTCTGAATCATCCTCGCTGCTTTCATTACTGCTATCAAGTTCAAGATCCTCCCCATCATCTGCAAGCATATTGAGATCCAAGAGTACAACATTCCTTCCACATAAATATATATATTTCTGAAGGCAGTAATTAATATTTAAAATCCAGGACCAAGTATAAACTGGGGAGACAATGGAAAGGGAAATGAGGCAGAACCCTTACTGTACCGGGCAAGACATAAAACATACCCAGTGGAAGAATGCAGTGGAGATCCACCTCTGTTGTCTTCCCACTTGACTCTAGCTTCACCTCACACTTTGACTTACTGCTAGATGTCAGCACCACTGCTCTATGCCATAGGTTGTCATCATACTTCACGAGTATTCGGAGTCCTGGACGGACAGCAGAGAAGTTGGGTTCCCTGTGGAAACAAAGCAGCATGATGATGACCAGCTTTTTGCTGGGATGGGAGTATACAGCTTGCCAGCATTGACACATAACTAAGTCAGCTTCTAGACAACAGAACTCTCTGAATCTGAGCTGTAATTTTTGCTTCCATCACTTCTGGACAACAAAAATAACTTCCACTTCACCATCTAACCGTCGCAGTCACTTTCATAATCTATAATCACAAATACATGCAAAAAACTGTCAAATAAAGGTATAATATATGAGCGCGCTGCGACAAATTACGATGAAGTATAAGCAAAATCTGCCAGAGGTGACATCAATACTACTGCTTCCTACCTAGCGAGAAAATGCTCAGTTATTGCTAGGAACAAAATAAATAGAGATAAAAATTCTTAGCCATGAAGTTCTAACTGCTATGAGTGAACTCAAGATGATGTACTTTGGACAAAATTTTAAACCAAGTTAATTTAGGATAACAAGGAAATGGTTAAACATGGAATAACCATACTGCTTTACAAATTCATGTAATTAGAATTTGGAAGTTTTATAATCTGAATGCACTGGTAGTCAGTCCACTGATGAATCAATTAGTTGTACATCAAAATCACTGTTCAAAAATGTGAAAGAAATCATACTGTGTCAGAATAACTGACAACGCACTTGTACTCCTTCAAGGACGACAAGTCTACCAGCTCTCCGTGAGAAAAGCGGCACTGCTGGTCAGAGAAACGACAGTCTCCCTCCAAGAAGTAGGGACATGGCAGCATGTCCTGCTGTGTTGGGTTGGTAAACATAACACGCACCTGGAAGCAAATTAACTGTTTAAATCACTTATTTTAGATGCACCAGCATGAATTATGGCAAAATCGTGTACAATAATATGCATCTGAGAAATTGAGACATGTAAGGAAATATTCAACAAATTGCATAAGAAATTTCCCCCAGTGGATGTCCAAAAAGTCAACTGAAAAAATAAATAAATAAATAGGGTTTAGAGCTCTCTGTAACAAATTATTATAAACAGATTTGAGTTTACAGATCATATGAAATTCAAAGGAACAGGAAGAAGCGACAAGAGCTCTATGCTCTGTGTTGTAGAAAGTAAATTTCCATTCAATAATGGCTTATTCATTTGTGTCTTACTTTATTTAATTAAGCTTTCCCAACTGAACAGGTTATATAACATCAAATGAGAAGATAACTATTGAATTAGGAATCAGGATGAACATGGATGCACCTTCTGCATGCCTCAATCCCAGTAAATATGTTGATAGTATGAGTAATGCACCATATTTAAAAAAAAATCCCCTTTTATTCTGCCGTGTTGCTATTCACACAGAACACAGATACATTCATCTTGCTTCTATTAAAACTTAGTTCATCCTTCTCCAACAAGTGGTGCATGTATCATTCGTTAAGCATGGCTGCTGCCCTTGATGTTCATCAGAAACAATGTGCTGTTATAGAGTTCCTGGTGTGTGAGAACGAGACGGTGGGAAACATCCACAAGTGATTGCAGAGGGTATACAGGAAGGATACTGTTGACCGCAGCACAGTTAGCCGCTGGGCACAAAGAACGTCAGACAAAGGTGGACAAGCAAACATTAGCGATTTTCCAGGCCACAGTCAGCGCGGATGGACGCCAATGTTGAGAGGGTGAACAACATGATCATGGCAGACAGACACATAACTGTGAATAATTGTCACTCTGACTGTACATTGCAGAAGCCAGTGTGTGCAGAATATTGGAACAGTTGTGATTTTTGAAGGTCTGTGTGAGGTGGGTCCCACGGCCCGCCTGCATGTCAGTCTGAGAACCATGGAGGTGATCACAAAATTGAGGTGGACAGTGTTGCCATACCCACCATACAGTCCTGATCTGGCACCGTCAGATTATCACCTGTTCGGTAAACTGAAAGACAGCATTCATGGGACAAATGATAAGGACGATATCCCCCTTGTGGTATCTGTGAAAAAGTGGCTCAAAAGCGCTGATCCCAAGTTTTACCATGCAGGCATACATGCCTTTGCTCTGAGGTGGCATAAGGCAGTTGAGAGAGATGGACACTACGTTGAAAAGTAGCATTTTGTTCCTAAAGGCTGTACCTATCAACTGTGTGAACAGTAAGGTTATAAAATAAAAATTGAATTTTTTAAAAAAATATGGTGCATTACTTTTGGAGTGACCCTCGTATAGGGAAAACCAAACTGGAAAAATAGTTAGCAGAGCTGGCCTCTTTGCTGGAAATCAAATCCATGAGATCTTGCATCCAAGTTTAAGAACTGCCAGAAAAATAAATCACCTGTATCTGGTCCATGCTGTGGATACTGCTGGTCGGCTCCACACCACACACCAACGCATTGTGGTAGCTGACATCCCCCCAGTGATGTTTATGGGGGGCCTGACATTTCATCCCCTGCAATGCATCCAGATCTTCCTAAAAAATAACCACAATCCTGAAGTTAATGTCTTCTGGGATGTTACAATTATCTCCACAACTTGTATTACAAATTGACAACAACAAATTTCATCAGACTCAGAAAAATACTTTAGGTGCAGAAGGAGATGACAATGAAATTTTCAAATTCATCTGTTAAAAATACAGATGGACCAATATGGCTGAAAATCAAATATGCTTGACAACTTTCAATGTACGTTTAGTAAATAGAATTCTACTCAAACTGAATAAATAAAATGGGATGGTATAATAGACTCATATAAGATGAAAAGGCAATATGCGTCTCGAATGGCTGCCATGTTGGTATTTTGCTTTGGAATTATGTGATCCCAGGGTATCTAGCAGACTGCATATCTGAAACAACCAGCCTCCTTACAGTAGTATATTCTGAGGCAAATCTTTAAATTAGTATGATATGCAATCTGACAGATTTTATTCACATGTTCAGTGTTCATCTTGAAATGTCTAGCAGTGTTGGCAGACTCATGCACAAATACTACTCTCCTAGCCACCATAGTGTTCAGTAAGGTGACACAACTTCTCTCTTTAATAATTTCCTTTCCTCTGCTATTGTTCACTCATTTAATTTTGTTTGCAGAAGTAGGAAATTGCCATCCCACCCTTAAAGTGCCATCAAACAATCAGTAATTGTATAACAAAGTTATGATACAGAATTTCTACAGACTTCTTTTGCCTTTGGAAGAGTTCAAATTCCAGTGCAAACATGAACTACAGTGTATATGTGTACCAGTGCAATTAGTTATTCACAAAAATACTCCTAACCTGGATATCAGATGTGCTGCCATCTTGTACAGTTTCTTGTGTGGTGCCATTTATAGCTTCAGCATCTTCCAGCTCTGCCTATGCAACAAATCACACTGATTACAAACACTCAACAATCAAGAAGCAAGACTTATATGTAATCAGTTTCTCACAATCATATGTAACACTGTGACAGTCATTCTTCATACACCACATGCTACCTCACCAACACAAATTCCTATTTTGAATAAATATCTTCATTTGTTAGTATAAAAAACATTATAACATGAAAAATACCAAGATAAATGCTACCAAAGTGTTCACTGCAGATAAATAATACTATGCTAAAAAAACTGGAACCAAATACTTGACACAACTGCTTGGAGAAAGCAAACACTCTGCAGTCTGTGAACATACATTAGAAAAAGAAACTAAGATTATTTGTAAGCCAACATGTTCGAAATAAAATATAAATTAATGAATAAATTCAGGCTCACAAAATTAAAAATGTAGTGTGATCAGAAAAATTAGAAAAGAAAAGGTTGAGATTTTCATACTAAACTTCTATACACTTCTCTTATTTCTTTTATCTGAGCCACACATCCATCCATTCATAACCTTCCTCACTTAACAGGATAATTCAATTCATTTATTAAAGTGTTTGCCAACTGCGAGGAGCCAATGATGGGCAACACTGATAATACATACATATACAAAAAACAAACAAACTAAACTAAATATATAATATAATGGGATATATTTAAATATTCTCAGTTTTTGTAATGAGTGGCCAAGCAGTCTAACGGAATGCATTATGTTCAAAGCTCACCTTCAACAAAGCATATTCTTTATCAAAGTGGTCAACCTCTCCTTGAATGGGTGTCTGTACTGGTGAGTCTATCTCCTTTGCTTGATTCAGTAGACCTGTCAGGTTCTCCTTTGTTAATGTAATCAGTTCTTCAATGTCTGACTGCAGGGAGATGAGGCTGTCCTGATCAGGGCCTGGTAATGATGCAGCAATAGCCAATTGCACTTGTGACAACTGCAACACAAGTGCACAAGCACGTGCTGCAAGTCAGGCAAGAAGTCAGTATATATGCTGTCTGTGCCAAGACTTCAAACAAAAATTTTAATTGGATAATTATGTTAGAGCTTAAGAACAATTTGATACAAATTATTTTGTGTATTCAATATTTAAACATTTTGGAACAACACTAACACACATAAGATTAAGTTAATAATACAATTAAGAGATGAATAAATGCAAGATCTGGTAGTAACTTTGCAATTCAGAAATTCCTGTTGGCTCACCAAAGATTACAATGTACCTATAACAACCATTTCACAAATTTTTATTTGACTGTGAAACAACTAATTCCTCAGGATAAGAAAACATAAATTACAAAAGAGATATTATTTGTGTCCATATAAAGTTTCTATCACAGTTGTAACCACCTGAAGAACAACACATACCAGGGATGTTTGTTTCTATGTATGTGCTTCTTATTTTGTTTAGGATTCGTTGGCCTAGCTTAACAAATGACAAAATGTGCACCTTGTACTGCAGAGTGATAACTAAATGGCAGTTCCTACTAACCAGCACCAAGTAGTGGAAACGTGTTATTGGTCTGCCGTACCGTCACATCTGTCCATATCTCAGAATTTCAATTTCTGTGGCAATACAACTCGAAGATTGAGGTTAGTATACGGAACATTAGGATAAACATTTATCGAAAAAAACCCAACTGCATTAACAGTACAAAATGTCCCTTTCAAGTAGTGGCATACAAACATATATACTAAGAAAGTTTAATATTGCACATGTGCATTTGATATTCACCTGGGTTTCATACTGAGAAATCGCTTGGTGCAAAGTTGTAATGTCTTCAGCCATCACTGGAGTAAGATATTTTCAGTAATTATTGTTCGAGTCACTAATTACTTTAAGTTATTTTAAGTGTAATGAAACATATGCATTATTCCAAATGGAATATACTCTAAACAAGCACCACATTAACTTTAATTCACACCTCCTTACACCGACAGAGACTTTTTAGGCAGGCTTTTACCCAAAACTGCCTTCTTGTCATTGACTATGTTGCACCTCTCGTGTCCCTGTAGGATCCATGTATTTGTTGCACTGTTAAATACCACGGTTAACATAAAATGTAGCATGTGAGTAACACAGATTAAAAGGTAACGTGTGTTAATGTGGGTTGGTTGTATATATCGTACTGTGCAAGAACTGCCTAAGATTTCTAAAACAAATAATTTTTAATCACCACATTGTACCCATGATTAATTTATTATTAGTCTAAGATACATTATTCTATACATTGTAACAATGTAGGGTTGGGTGGTTGGGTACAGATTAGAAGTACAAAGTGTATTCGTCACGTGTTTGGAATTTTTTTCTATCTTTCTTTTGGGTACAAAACCTGTTAATTTCACATCTTTTATTAGGGTGGCCAACATTTCGTGTAAGGATTAAAGATTCGTAAAGGCAGAAATCTTAACATCGTCGCTTTGGGAACATGGTATCTGAACCAGGATCACAGATGTTCTTAGACAACCTCCCAAAATTAACTGTGCTGCAATGACCTAAGTATAGAATACTTACAAAGGAAATCTACGTGAGATGTAAAAGCAGTCATCTTTCTCGAAAGAATTCAATTTGTTGCGATGCATTGCACGCACTTCGTTAAAAAGTGTCAGGTTTTAGTAGCATAAACTTCAACCAACATAACAATGCTACGTATAGTTTGAATGTTGGTAGTGTATGGGGTTTGATCTGGGTTTGTAGGACGCATTTTCAGGTCATTCAGAACCACAGTTCTATGATAAGGATGTCATGTTACGTTTCACATAACTGTAAGGAGGCCAGGAAGCAGTGCTAGCACAGTTATATGCCAGACACTGTTAAGAAGCGCAACAAGATGGGAGAGTGGCCTGCTGATGTAGGGATAATTGCACTAGAACTGATTTTCCCGTCGCAATATGTGGAGCAGGCGGAGCTGGAGGTGTACGACAAGGTGTCACCAGGCAAGTATACCGTGGGCCTGGGACAGGCCCGCATGGGCTTCTGCACGGATCGCGAGGATATCAACTCACTATGTCTCACTGTAGTTACGAGGCTCATGAAGAGAAACAACATCTCGTATTCTAGCATTGGCCGCCTCGAGGTGGGCACTGAGACCATTCTGGACAAATCCAAGAGTGTTAAGACCGTGTTGATGCAGCTCTTTGAGGAGAGTGGCAACACTGACGTCGAGGGCGTGGACACCATAAATGCCTGCTATGGGGGCACTGCAGCTCTCTTCAACAGTGTGTCCTGGGTTGAGTCCAGTGCATGGGATGGTCGCTTTGCCCTGGTGGTGGCGGCTGACATTGCTGTGTATGCTAAGGGGAATGCAAGGCCCACTGGAGGAGCTGGTGCTGTCGCCATGCTGGTAGGTGCAAATGCTCCCCTGGTCCTGAAACGGGGGGTGCGTGCCACACACATGAGGCATGTGTATGATTTCTACAAGCCAGACCTGATGTCAGAGTACCCAACTGTGGATGGGAAGCTGTCAATTCAGTGCTATTTGAGTGCCTTAGACCAGTGCTACCAACAGTTTTGCTCCAAGAGTCAGAAGCATGGTGAAGAGCACTTTGGGTTGAAGCACCTGGATGCAGTCCTGTTTCATGTACCATACTGCAAGCTGGTGCAGAAGTCATTGGCTAGACTAATGCTAAATGATTTTGTTCAAGCATCAGAAGAAGAGCAGTTGGTTCAGTATCCTGGATGTGAGGCTTTCAAGAATGTAAGGCTGGAGGACACTTATTTCGATCGAGACATTGAGAAAATGTTCATGACACTGAGTAAAAGTACATTTGAAGAAAAGACACAGCCATCACTGTTAGTGGCAAATCAAGTTGGCAACATGTATACCCCATCCTTGTATGGGGGTCTTGTGTCATTGGTAATCAGTCGAGGTGCCCATGATTTAGCAGGCAAGCATGTGGCTCTTTTCTCTTATGGATCAGGACTTGCCTCATCCATGTTTTCTTTGCATGTCTCTCTGGATGCCAGCCCAGGATCACCCCTGCAACGCCTTGTAGCAAACCTGACCCATATCAAGCCGCAGCTAGAAATACGCCACAAGATTTCCCCTGAAGAGTTCGAAAGCATCATGGAGATACGTGAGTGCAACCACCACAAGGCCCCCTACACACCACAGGCCCCAGTAGACATACTGTTTCCAGGCACATGGTACCTTGACAGTGTTGATGCTTTACACCGTCGCTCATATAAACAGGTGCCCCACAATGGGCTGTCCAGCTGATTCCTGCTTATGTGTTTAGCATATCACAATTCACAACACTGTACATCTTTGTTCCTGAGCATCATATTTCACGAGGTCTGTGGTAGTCTCCAGGTTCTTTACTGTTCTGATTCCAGACCAATTCATAAAATCCATAAGCAAGGTGTCAGAACTGCATAGTTGCAATGTTGAAGTTCAGATAGAACGATGTATTTTGGCTCTCTGTAATGTTACAGACATATTTCAGAATGTATTTTTAAACAGTAGTCTCGATGAGGTTATTTAATCCATACAATTAAAATATATCTATACATATTACTTGTGAATTTCTTAAGTACTGTGTACAAGCACATTAATTCTGATTGGCTGAGAATTAAAGTATAATTCCGCATTGTCAGCCTTTATTTTGTCCTTAGCCTTTCAAAAGTTGACTTGCTCTGAATTTATAGAGAAAGAATCCTGCCTTGATTTATTTTAGTGATGCAATATCAAGTACCAAAGTTGTTACATAAAATGAAGATAGAATTATTTTGAATGATATATGTAGGAAGAAATGGCCATAGCCTATTTTAAAGCTTTTACCTTTACTGCATATGCATGAAGACATGTTCAAGGTCAAAGCTGCAGACAGCAGGTTCAGTTGTCACAATGGGAGACTGGGCTCACAGAACAGGAACAAACAAGGTGTGCCAAGAGATAAAGAGATGCTGATTCATGAATTGTGCCACTGTTGATACGACAGTGAGGATGAAGTATGTTCTTTGTTGGTATATTAATTCTGCAGAAATATTTTTTATAACCAAATGTAAGCATTTTATTAAAGTAGCACTCAGTAACTTAAGTTGTTTTATTGCATATCTCCTGTTTGTATAATAGGACCTGAAAAAAATACGAGAAGTAAGAATGAGATAAAACTGAGAAGTTAAAATTATCAAACAGTACCATCCCCTTTTGACTTGGTATAACTAAAAAAACCCACCAATATATTTTATAAAAAAAGTAATACATCGATACCCTGATGATGGCCTCAGAGGGCTGAAACGTGATGAAAATAAAGCATTTATAAATTTAGTTATATTTTTGTGGTTATTTTAAATACAAAGTCAAAATTAACGTGAATACTCTGACAGCTTTGTGGCAAGTTTTCATATCTGTAGGATGGAAGTCACAGAATTTATCTAAATTAAGTTATCCACCAATTCAAAGATGACAATTTGGGTTCCACAAGAGTTTTGAGTGTCACTGGGAAGAACATCAGAAAATGCAACCTTAATGTAAAATTACCATGTTGCACGAGTTGTTACAATGAACAAATAGAATTATCATGAAAGGATGTCCATATAGTTATTCGGAACTCCTAATACATTTCAATAAAATCTTCTCGGGCGATCAGCCGCGTCAAACAATTGAAAGATGAAACCAACATTTCAGGGACCATCTCTGTCCCCATCATCAAGGTTCTGATGACATTTGATTGCCCGAGAAGATATAAGTTACGTTGTCATGAAAGCTTCAAATCCTATTACATTTCATAATGATGATTAGCCATTGCAAATCCAAATAAGAAAGCTGTTGTCATGAAAGCTTCAAATCCTACTACATTTCATAATGATGTATAGCCATTGCAAATCCAAATAAGAAAGCTGATATGGATGTCCATTCATCCACCTGTGTTCAGCAACCCCAGTGAAACCAACAAAATTCCACAATTTTGGGTGTAAGGAAGGAATAATCCAACCAAAACTTCTGTCTATATTTCCATACAAATTTGTTATTGTGTTATCTCAACCACAGGTTAATACCATGGCACAGAAATATGGCCAAAATTGTCTATGTAATTTGGGTCCCCTTCAACTAACATCTCCCTACTCAACTTGATTCCTATCAACATAAGACTTAACTATAAAATCCATACATGATGCAACATCAGCTTGAGTGAGCTTTGGCCATGGTTGACTGTGTCCAATATACCTCACTGTACAAGAGATTATTTACACAAAGGTTATATTATTGTTTTTCCTTAAAAAATTAACTTACTTGTCATTACTGTCCTTCCTCTCATTTGGAAATGTGATAAACTGGTCGCTGTGGTGCCTTCTCCAACTATTTTGGCCCAGTATCAAGTGCCTCCTCAATGTCTTTGATCACAGGCATATGTCATCTTCCACTTTTTCTGCCTGATCCACACAAGTTCTCAAATCATCTTCTACCCTCCACCAAGGGTGCACTGTGTCATGCACTTCCTCAGTCTAACCTCCAATGGCAGTACTGCACGAAGTCATTCTGGGAGCAAAGAAGGTAAAAAAAATCTTCAATGCTACACTTTGTGTGAATACATCATATTTTCAATATGAGCTGTGGGACCAATAAGTATTAGTTTCTGAAGCTCTCTTCTCCATAGAAAAGCTGATGGTTATTCTGTTGATCAAGAAATTCTAGAGGATCATCTTTATCTCTGAACACAGATTGCGCCCTTGTAATACCTTGCTACTAAATAAGAATGAAGACTGAATGCAGTGTCTGCTCAAACGACCATTCGTGTGAGCACAAAACTAATTCCATGTCTACTCAGGTATCACCAACAGAATCTAGAAGCTGAGCTGGGTGAAGTCTGTAATAATTTCAAGATAATACATGCAGCAGTGGAAACAATCAACAAAGTCCTTTAAAACATGTATTATTAATATATACATTGTTGTGTATGTACCAAGTCACCTGCTGTACAAAGTTAGAAAATTGTTTACATACAAGCCACATACATACATAATATGAAAGTAACATATCTGGAATATTATAAAATACACAATATATGAAACTGTACATAAATTTTTTATCAGATTGCAGCACTAGTCCTCTACCTGCCAATCCATTAATTTATATCATTGATGCAGCAGTGGAATACCACATTAATAATCACTAGCCCAAGGAAAATTTGCTGCAGTAAAATCTTACACTGATATAATATGTATGACATCCTATCTGACAAAGTTCTGCCTTCATGCAATAGGTTGGTGTGAAGACTGATTATTTGAAGATGGCTGTCTTCTGGTATGATGCATTATGTAGTATGCTACATATTGACTATTTCAGACATACTGCCCAGATGATGCAACTACAAGCTCCTCTAAAATGCCAATACATATCAGACTACATGGTCCACCATCCCAGAAAACAGCCTCCTCCATACTCATTCCCATGAGAACCTGAAATCCCGTGTTGGCTTTTTGTTGTTTTCATGGATTAGTCAGTGCAATGCCTGTACCATCTTCTCTTCCCAGCACCCCTTGGCCTTCATCTTACTGTTCTCACTGGGTTTATAATTCAATGCTATGTTCAGTAACCTGTGTTCAGCAACCAACTTACAGTGTTTCACTTCTTCTATGATCACTAATCTTAAGTTTCTTATGTATCAGGATCTGTTTCAATCTAATAATATATATCCTGGTATGTTTTAGAGAATTGTGTTCTCACTGCACTTATATGCATATTCTTTTCCTTTTATTTTAAAAGACTCTCATACTATCAAGTCATAGTAGATTTTCTGTTTAAATTCATGTATTTGTTCTGTTAGTTTAAACAGTTTTTATATAGATTTTTTCCCTTTATGGCTACTACTTTAATTTTATAAACATGTTCATATGAAGCTGTTGCATAATAATTCAATTAGTGAAAGATTTCTTTGTAAGTCACCTGCATCTGCATTACCCTTATCTTACCATCATTCTGTTTACCTTGTTTTATCCAATACTTTGTTACTTTCTCCAGGTATATGTTAAACAAAACGGAAATAATTCAGTTAAAGTACGCATTTGCTTCTGGTCATTACAGAGTATTATAAACTTGTAATTTTAAATTCAGTATTGAGATGTCAGGTTCTTCATAACCCTCCAAGCTGCATCACGCAGAAACATCACATAACATACAAAAGTAATATATCAATTATATATGAATAGAAAGCTCATACCATACTTCAAGAAGCATTCATACTCTTTCTCTGTTTAGTAAACAATGCTAGATCAACTATTAATGTTATACAGCATAAAGTGGGGAAAAAAGACAGGATGGTTATTAATGATGACATGACTATCTTAAGATACCATCACTACATGAATTACAAACCCCACACAAAAAACAGGAGTGCTAAATAATAAACTGTGACACTTTATCAATTCTGTGAATTACTTGAACAAGCTCATGTGCACTAGGCAAACAGCTGACATTGTGGCTTAGGAAAGTGTTTCCTCCTCTTTCAAATATGCAGTTGCACAACTTGTCCTGACTGGCATGTTAAGAGTGCTAGTTGCATGAGAAAATCATTTGATTCTATGAGATCAACATGCAGGTAACTAGATGCATGCTTTATCATACTGACAGTTTGTAAAAGTTGATCAACTCTAAATTATGATTACAGTATAACACAAAACTGGCTACATCCTGACAGTGCTACAATACAGTGGCATATGGAAAGACCAGAACTCAGGCCCCTTAATGAGTGGACACAGTTGGGGGGGTTTGAAACAGAGACCAATGGAAAAATAATATTACAACAGATATGATACAACCTATACAACTGATGCTCAGAATTGCAGGTACATGAATTGAGCTAAATTAAAACTGTAGTTCAGGTAAACACAGTTTTTGAAGTCAACTGTCTACTTAAACACTAAAGCAAAAGTTAAAAACCACAAAGTACAATAACATGTGACATATGACCACATCACCTGTTTTGATGTCAATCACTGTAAGCAGTGGACGGACTCAGGTACACATTTTAATCCTTCCAGTTGTTTTGATAGATGCTGGACCATATAAGATTAATATCATTAATGTTGATTCAAATGACAGCACTGCTTGGTACATTTAAGGTTGCATTTTCATGTGAGTAAGCTCTCCACATTCCAAACATGAAGGTAACTTCAGGGTTTCCAAGGAGCAAATATATAAGTATTACATCACATCACTTTGTCATACCAACTTAAACATATTCAATTAGCAATTAAAAAAGGAAGAGAATCTGTACCACTTACAGAAATAGTTGTGCCTGATTTAATTTTCTTGTACATAGAAAACTCATCTTTCTCTTCTACACTTCTGTGACAACTGACCTACATTACTGACTGTGCCAGTCAACAAGGAATACCATATGTCAATGTCAAGACTTCAGAGCAGGTGGAGGATCAGATTGAAGGTGCTGCCAAAATTGATGGATACCACAAACTCCAGACATAGTCAGAAGTGATACCATGGTTTTCACAACACAGAACCCACATGAACTCATGCAAGGGGGTAGGATAGCAATTATGGGCCAGATAAGGATACTCTGAAATGACAGTAATTACAAAATTTACCAACTATCCATTTCTATCAATGACTGAACACATTTTATAAATACAGAAAGCTAAGAAAATAATTGTCAATAATTAATCAGACATAACATTCTAAGCCCAGAGAAGTCTTAACAATCTATGATACATATTAAGCCAAATTTGAAGCAGACCTTACAATAATTTTTCATATCCAGTTTTAGGTAAAGTAAACAAAAATAGATAAGTATGTGTCTTGGGTAGGGAGTCAAACTTTTATTTCTGTCAAGATTTATTCTTATTTATTTGTTGTGATTTTTCCATGTTATATTATTTGAGAGAGAGAAAACCGAATATTATCACAGGCTGGACTGAATATTTTTAAAGTTGTATTTTGTTTACCCCTGGGTTACAGCTAATACCAGGAACAACAAAATCTTTCTATTACACATGCGAGATTAAGAAATATGAGTTTTAGAAGTTTTTCATGCCAAATAAATTCATCAACAAGTTCAAAATAAAGATAAGTGTTCTTTACACTTTTGCATAAGCAAAAATCACCATGGGCACATCCATGTCTGTCTGTCACATCTATCATCACAGTGTTTTAAAAATGACCTTGGATACCATTACTGTCTCTGACACAGCACATTTGTTATTCCCTTAGTTGCCCTGCTGACATCACTGCCTGTGATGTAGTATAACACCTCTGACCTTTCAGTGGACTTCAAAAAGTAGATATTCTAAATCTTGCTATTCTAATATTTCTGCTTCTTCAAATTATTTTCAAATATTTTCAGTTACATCAACAAGACACTTGGAATTATGAAAAATGAGACTACAGGTTTCTTGCTTTCATAACACATCACCTGTCATGTGACAATAATGTATCACAGCAAAATATTTCATGCTGTCACAATGATGATACTTTTTATTTTCATAAAAATTATTCTAACAAAATGTTATCACATGCACTGAACTGAGCTAGTACGGTTTCCACCTTAGATTTGTTTAGCTTCCATACAACAGGAAGAAAAAAAAAGCACAAAACCAATGGCATACTATCTGTACATTTCATGACAATGATCAATAAATGTCTACAATTTTGATGTTCATAACTGAATCAATGCATGGGCAGACAGGTGCACAGCACTTTTTTTTTGTGTCCAGTACACACCATTCAGCATGATATGCATTGGTGGTTAGCAGGATTCACAACCTATCTGTACATTTCATGACAATGATCAATAAATGTCTACAATTTTGATGTTCATAACTGAATCAATGCATGGGCAGACAGGTGCACAGCACTTTTTTTTTGTGTCCAGTACACACCATTCAGCATGATATGCATTGGTGGTTAGCAGGATTCACAACCCATCAGTACATGGGTTCAATCGGGACAGCGACACTTAACGCTCCTGCTGTGAACCCCCCACAGCACATTAAAAGGAAGGAATAAAACTGGAGTGACAGAAAGAGGAAGAAATGTGGCAAGAAGAAACAATCCAATGAAAATCATTAAACCATTTGTGGTTTGGTTTCTCCTTCAAGAGCTTCCCTCAGAAGTAATAGTGCAATAAAAAATCACTTATGTTCTAGCCTTTCACAGCTTGTGACTACTTAGCACGATTGTAGGGGAAGAATGGAGAACCAACTATACAGTGGCGCCTGACTTTTCTATAGCCACAAGACAGCACTGACTTTAATAAAATAGAAGTCATTTCCAACATCAGCAGCTACTATACCTGCATGAGGAAGGCATTAGATATCCAAACTTCCAGACAACTTCAACCATGAATATGGCTACAGCCTAAGCAAAGCCAGACTTCACCTGTTTACACCCAAATGGCCGACCCCACTAGGCCCTCAAAAAGGCAGGTCCACCTCCACCTCCCCCAACAACGTGGTCAATGAATAGCTGCCATTCCCTTCTACTTAATCCTTTCCAACATGTTCACCAGAACCTCATCACTTCCCTTCTTCAACCATATGCTCCTCTCCCACTGGATAGCAGCCAGTTCCCCAACTCTACCAATCAACACCAGCGAATTCATCTTGCACCCACTGCCTGCTCTATAAAGTACTCTGAAATGACCCAAACTCATCCATTTTGAAAATGGCAACCGCAATATCTGCCAAAACGTTGGTTAACACCAACTATATAAAGCGGCTCTCACCCGAAAGCCGAAGTTATGCATGGGCGTCATGTTCACCAGATTTGAATGTGTTCTTATCTATGGGGAAAGCTGACATGGGAAGTTTACAGACATAATTCACCCACTATGCAGATACAGCGAAACCTCGATGCATCGTTTTCGGCGGGGGTGGGAAATAAAAATGATGAATGCGGGAAAGCATTAAAAAATTTAAAAAAAACAATGTTTCTCTTTCAAAGTTACTTCTTTTTACCAAAAAAGTCTTTAGTGGACAACTGGTTTGTCGAAACTTTACGTTTTAGACCAAACAGAGCACTTTCCACGTTCAAAATGTTTTCCTCGTCACGTTCACTAATATTAAGCGCATAAAAGAACCACTGAACCACTGGAAACGAGATGAACCAGAAGAATGAAAAGTGCCGCCAGCCTTTCCTTTGTACTTGTAATAAAAGCATTTGTGAAGAAATTCACAGTGCACATGCCATTTGGCATCGCTGGAACGAAATATGAGTGCACCCTAATTAAAATCGTAAAATTTCTGACAATGAGCACCGCCATTCACTCCAACTATCACCCCTGCACCGCTGACCCTCATTCCAAAAGAATGTGCTGGTTGGGCGACATAACAGGTTACCGCTACTGTGTATTCCAAAAACATTGTGCGTCTTTCGGAATTAAATTCTAAAAATATCACGTAAATTTCGTTACAATTTCTCAGAAACGATCATTGCGGGAAAATTGTGTGCTGGGACTAAGATTTTTTAAGGATCGATGCGATAAAACGATAGTTCGAGGAACGATAGAAGCGGGAAAATGTAACATTATTTTATATGGGATGTATTCGGGACCGAACAAAACGGACGATGCATCCGGGAAAACAATAGTTCCGGGAACGATGGATAGAGGTTTCACTGTATTACAAACTAATACCAGGGATATTATGAGCATTCTTAAAACAAAAGAAGGTAAACATGATACCTCATAGAATTTGTTACAGAGTTTTGAAACGTGTTTGAGTTCTGGGTATCAGAGTACATCACATTGCACAGCTACTATTAATTACGCTAAAAAAACTGGAGATTTGCCACATTCATAAAATTTTATTTTGGGGAATTTTACTCAAATTTTGTTAAAATTGGAAAGTAATAGGCTCTTACACAAGAAATGACATACATTTCTGTATATGGAAGTGACTGGGCAGGGAATTCTCAGCCATACAAGTCCCCATGAAATCACATGGGGGGAATACCCAATACCTACATAATCACCCAGTTAGGCATCCAAGAGTCAACCACATCGGAAAATCCCAAATCATGTCACTGACACCATTTGTAAAGGTGAAAGAAATACTGATGAACACAACAGAACTGTTATGCTATGTACAGTGTTCCTAACTTGTTACTTGCCCAGCTCATGCAATACACTCCTCTTTCCTCTTCCATTCAGCAACTATGCACCAAATGGTAATATGCTCTTCAGAAGACTGGAGACTGTGTAGTCTCTTTATCTGAACATACAAACTCTGCTGAAAATTAAGTAAGAAAACAAAAGGAAATTACATGTGGTGAAAAAGGATACACATACAAAAGAAATACAAAGTAGAAACATTTAAAATATGGTACATAGAGAAATCACAATTCTGCGTGTATAAAATTTATCATAAAATATTCTACCCATCTGGGTTAAATAAAAACCCTAAAATCACATGAACCACATATAACCATTCCCTCTGAAGAGCCTTCAAAATGAGCGAGTTTGGAAAGGGACTCCAATACGATATTGCACAGTGATTAAATGTCTGTCCCAGCTATCATATACTAATGTCTATTCTTCCATCTTGCTTGCTTGCAGGACCAGACACTTGTCATATTCTACACAGTTCAACTGCACATCACATGTGTTCCATAGCCACATCTTATAAGTTTGTTGAAAAAATAATTTAACGTGGCTTATACCTGAGCCCTGAGTGAAACAGAATATTTGGTACTTTTCACATTTCATCTCTTGTTGCGCTTGTGTCTACATGTACTGCTACTGGCTATACTGTCCCCATCACTGTCACTGTCACATACTCCAGCTCGACTGATGAAACGCTTACGTCTATCACTGCAAACAAACAACAATAATAATTACTACAAACCAGTTCAAATTATTTGGACACTGGGTGGTCAACAGGCACTCCTCCATTCAAAAATTACACCAGTATAAAGTAGAAAGCATCATCACCACAAAAGTCCACATCTGGAAGTAGTGATTACATTTTATTGTAGTTAGTGTCAGCATCTATGCCATTCAGTCGAGGAACCTCATAACTCCAGATGGCTTCATATAAGTTATACTGGTGAACAACAACCCATGGTTTAAAATTCAAAACATGACTGAAGATATTATTGTTTCTATGAAAAACAGAGTGTACACGAGACTTTCCTAAACTCAGAGCTAAAGTAGCTGCCAGTAGAGTGATTATGCTATGGGCTAGACAACCAGGATTCAATTTCTAGGAGCAAAAAAGTCATTTTTTTAGCTACCATGTCCAAACTGGTGCCAGGGCCCAACCAGCCTCCTATTCAATGGGTACCAGGGTCTCATTCCCTGGGAGTAAAGTGGATGGGGCATGATGCTGACCACTTACTTCTATATAGTGCTGAGGCCAAGAATGACTGGAAC